TTTAAGAGGAGGCTAGATGTACACCTTGCTGGGGTAGTTTGACCCCAGTGCTCTTTCCTGCCATGAATAGAACTAGTCTTCTTATAGATTTTAAGGCTTTAAGAGACAATTTGCAGTTGGCTAGGTTGACCCCCGGCATAACACAGACCAGAGACCCTCACCCAGTAACTTCTGCATTGAGCCCCTAGTGTGTGTGGAGCTATGCTATTATCTTTTCGAAAGGCGTCCACTCAGGTGATGGACAATCCATCACGTCCATATGCAAGGTCTTCCAGTGTTTAATTGCCATCACAGTTAAAAATTCAGACCTTAGTCCTAGTTTGAATTTATCTCCCTTTAACTTCCAACCACTGGACCTCATTATGTCTTTTCCTATTAGATTAAAGAGCTATCATAAATCTCTCTCCATGAAGGTGCACCAGCCTCAGAGCAGTTTAGATGAAAACAGATTCAGCTTTACAATAGACAAGAGTGCTTTGTCTGCTTGCTGGGCACAAGGCATTTTTCCCCTCAGACAGTCCCTGCTGTATTGTTGAAGTCTGAGGTGGGAAAGCCTTACCAGAGCCTCTGTTCAACCCCTGATCAGAGCATTTTTGCTCCCTGCAGTACCCTTCACAAGTGCTTGCCTTATTTAGTTTTAAATGGCCTAAATAGCATTTATACTACATCCCAAGGGGCACTATTTTACAGCCTGGTGGGGGATCAGTATCTAGAAGATTTTCCTGATATTCAGTGTATAATCTCTTCCTTAATTCATTCCCATTACTCTTGTTTATGCCCCTTTTACTGTTATAATTAATTCATTTCCTTCCTTGGCTACAGCCTTCAAATATTTGTAGGCTGTTATCATGTCTCCTTCTAATTGTCCCTTAGCCATGTTATACATCTTTAACTCTTCTAGCTTTTACTTATTAGTTACTCTTTTCACCCCTTAATCTTTTTTTTTTTTTACTGTCCTCTGAACCCCTTCCAGTTTGTCGATATTTTTCTTTTAATTAGATGCCCAGAAATGAAGTAGCTATTCCAGAGCTGGATAGTTAGTGAAGGACTACATCCTTGCTTCCTGCTACAGTACAAGATCTTTGTATGCAGCCCACAATAGCATTGTCTTAGAGAAAGGTCATCAAAAACCTCTTAAAGTTGGTGAGAGTCTTATACTGACTTCAGTGTGTTTTGAACAAGCTTCAAATCAATACCAAATGCCTTGCTGGGAGATTCGCTTTAGTTGAGTACAGTGCAGAGTTTACAATGGCAAACAAAGGGCCTGTATATGCACGAGATCAGTTTAAATGATCTAATTGTACCTTCTGGTTTAAACCATTATGACTATCCCCAGTCTATAATTTATTAGCTTCATATTTCAGCTTCTACATCCTTTCTCTTCTTGAGTTGTGCTTCCCTGGAGATGCAGATAACTGAGAAATGACAGGGGAGGCAAGAGGGTAGCGTTGTCTTGAAAACAGTCAAGTAAGCCGTGCAGCTATTTTTATGTAGCAAAACAGGACCAGTTTCAGAGGTGATTCACTGGGTGATGCAGCCGAGACCTATTTACCCACACACTCCAAGGTGTCAGGAGGCTGCACAGATATAACTTGCATCCTGAGAGGCTGGCAGTGATGTCAGTTCAAATAGCGTGGGGACTATTTTAACATGCACTTCTTTTATGTCTCCTGCCTATTCTTCTTTTTACACTCCTCCATCTAGCCACTCAACCTATGAATGACTCCACCTTAGTCTCCTTTACAGTCATTTTAGTTTAAGGAGCCTGGATTCGTAGGTGTGTGTCATTGACACATTGGAAAGTGGATGGTAAGTGGATGCAAGGTCAAGGATTTAAGAAGGCACTGGAAGCAGAGGGGGAGAAAGTAATAACTTACACTGACATACACCTGCATCTTTGCTTCATCTTGGTCTTAACTTGATTTGATGTATTTGGTGGCTTATCTGTGTTGTTTGTTGTTGTTGAGCATGGAGAACTCTAAACACTAATGAGCCTCAGACTTGCACTCAGGACTTTAGACTCTGTTGCCTTCTAATTAGAAATGGCTGATGCAGGTAGGGCCTGACTTTGATGAGTGTAGGATCTGGGCCCTTCCTCCAGTAGGTTTACACTAGAAACCCATTACTAATTTATGAGGTCTGTCTGAACAGTGACACAGGAATGCAGTGTTGGCATATGGGGCATGGGGACATACGTTGAGGGGGAAGTGAAAGGGACCTCCAGCTTTCTTTGAGGTCAAAATGTGGAGAACATAATACTCGCTGCTTTGGAAAGAGTAATAGCAGAAGTAAAGAAGAGAGGCCATAAATTTATCACACCTGGGAGTCTTCTGAAGAAGTGTCTCCTGAGATGGATTTTGTGGTTTGGGAATAAATCTTCCGTCTTCCCACTTTACTCCCAATTTCCTCTCCTGTTTCTTACAGCCATTCCCTCCTTGATTTGGGGGGATTAACCCTTTTGAGCTTGCCCTCGATAAAAGGCCTGTGTTTTGTTCCGAGTGACTTAAATAGCAAGGTTCTTTGAGTAGATGTGGTATCTTTTATTAGACCAACTGTGACAAAAGATATCACATCTGCTCAAAGAACCTTGTCTGCCAATGTCCTTAGACCAACATGGCTACAACCAAAAACCCAGCCAGTTAATTAATCGGCATTTAACTCAATTTACTTAATATTTGACAAAGGCTGGTATGGTTGGTGTTGTAATTTGCTTCCAGCTGAGCTTTTTTTCCCCATAAATTCATAGAAGTCAGGGGCTGGAAGGGACCTCATGAGGTGATCAGGTCCAGTCCCCTGCACTTGGGCAGGAAAGACGGCTGGGGCCAGATGACCCCAGCAAGGCGTGCGTCAGGTCGTTTTTTAAAGATCTCCGATGCAGGTGACTGGACCCTCTCTGGGGGGAGTCTCTTCCAGACCCTAGGCACTTGAATCGTAAAGAAGTTTCCCCTTATGTCCAATTTGAAGTGATCTTCGAGCAGTTTGCGTCCATTGTTTCTGGTCTTCCCCTGGGGTGCCTTGGTGAACAGATGCTCCCCCAGGCCACGATGTAAGCCCCTGATATACTTATAGGCTGCTCTTCAGTTAAACCAGAAATGTTTGCATACCTTGTGTTAACTGACCGTCAAGTAACTCAAGGTACAGGACTGTAATGTAGACATACCTGGGGGCTCCCCTGATGCGGCATTCATTCGGCTGTCTGGCTCATCTATTCTCTGCAGTCCTCTTTCTGTTGTGTCGATGTATTTGCCTCTGGCTCTTATTGATTAGTTGAGTACTTCTTGAAATAATTTCCAGTCTGATCCTGGTAAGTTTTCTTGCTGCTTTCCATGGTAGGAAATGCTTTGGAGCGCTGCTGTTGGTAATGCTGGTGTTTCTGAGCAGCCAGATAGGGAGGCTTTCTGGTTTACTGGCTTCCCATGTCACCTCAAGGAGAGGTGCACCATACTTCATCTTGACAAAATGGAGAGCTTTCTTTTTTGGAGATTTACAAATCTGCATGTAGTGTTCTCTTTAGATTGAGCCCAGAAGAGTCCTTATACCAGACCCGTACTCGATGCAGGCGTGTTTGGAGGAAGTCAGTGATGTAAAGAGTCATGTATCATGAGTCGCTCATGGCTAGCCCACGTGGGCTTCTCTTCTCCTGAAGTTCTCGTTCGGACAACGTTTCTCACAGGCCTTCTTTCCTGTCATACTTAGGGATTTTCCTTACAGTATTCTGCATGAAGTATATGGATATGCTCGAAAACTTTGGGCTAAAGAAGCTTGAGGAGTTACTTCTGAACCGTTCAGCACCCACACTTCTCCCGTGCATTTCATATTTTTTCCCCCCCATCTCATGCAAATTTGGGTTATTTTGACCGCTTCTCAGCCTAACCACACCATCCTGTGGTTTGCCACTTCCAGGATCGTTGCTTCACAATACAGCCCGTCACCATTAGACTTAAACCACTGAACGCCCATGATCGTTGTGATACCAAAGAAATACCGCTCTGTGAATATGGCTCTTTCTGAAATGTGCTTCTCAAATAAGCCCAGCAGCTGCTTTGCTTGGCTGAAGTGCCTTTTATGGAGGTATCTGGTATGCGCTAGTCAGCCAATTTCCCAAGAGATGATGCACGCAAATACAAACAGATATCCATTATAGGATCAACAATGAGTGTTTCTTCAACAAGCATCAACGGGTGTTTTATTTCTGGCACTGATCTGGGAAATCCTGTGGGCTGGATCATGCCTCCCAGATCTCCCTGTGTCCCTGTGGAAGGATGAAATCAGTGACCTCTACAGCACTGTCAGGTTTGAAGTGTTCACTACAGAAAGCCCTGCAAACTCCACAGATGA